TCCCCTCCTCAGGTCCCAACCCCCCCCCCCAACTTCCAGGTATTTCCCAACCCAGAGCCGGCAGCCCTAAAATTGGGGAGCTCACCTTCCAAAGTGATTCGAATGTGGCCACTGGCTGCCAGAGGATGTAGTGAGGGCCACAGAAATAAAAAGCATTAAAAGAGGATGAGAGAGATTCATGGAGGAGAAGTCTATCCCTGGCGACTAGCCGAGGTGACTGAGGGGAACCTCCACATTCAGAGGCACTAATCCTCTGAGACCCAGAGCCAGAAGGCAATATCAGGGGAAGGCCTCGGCCTCTCTGCCCTGTTCTTGGCCCTCCAGAGGAACTGGTTGGCCACTGTGTGAGTCAGGAACTGGCTAGCCACTGGGTGAGACAGGAACTGGCTAGCCACTGGGTGAGACAGGATGCTGGACTAGATGGACCATACCCCACCCTTCACTACCGAAAGGAGTCTCAGAGCAGCTTACAAAATCCTTTTCCCTTCCCCTCCCCACAACAGGCACCCTGTGAGGTGGGTGGGGATGAGAGAGCTCTGGCAGAAACTGCTCTTTTTCAAGGACAGCTCTTGTCAGAACTACGGCTTGCCCAAGGTCATCCAGCCAGGTGCAAGTGGAGGAGTGGGGGATCAAACCCGGTTCTCCCAGGTTAGAGTCCGCGCATTGCTCCGAAATGATCTTACTCGCCTGAGACCCACTTACGTTTAGGTGGTCTTGTCGCTGATTCTTCCGGATTTTTTCCAAGATGGCCAGATTCTCTTTCTCGATGCCGTCATCCTCCGACTTCTTCCCGTCCACTCCGCGCATTGCTCCGAAATGATCTTACTCGCCTGAGACCCACTTACGTTTAGGTGGTCTTGTCGCTGATTCTTCCGGATTTTTTCCAAGATGGCCAGATTCTCTTTCTCGATGCCGTCATCCTCCGACTTCTTCCCGTCCACGGGCTCTTCTTCCTTCATGTCATAATGATCTAAGTCGATGTCCTAGAAGGCAAAGAGACACCCGGCTTCAGGTCAAGAACAGCACTAAGGAGAGCCGTAGGCAGAAGTCACATGCTGTACGGGGGTCACTCTCGTGCTCTGGTTATTAAACCAATCCAGATTTGCCATGGCTCAGTGGTAGAACCTCTGCTTGGCATGCAGAAGGTCCCAGGTTCAATCCCCGGCATCTCCAGTTAAAAAGAACCAGGCAGGAGGTGATGTGAAGGACCTTGACTTGAGACCATGGCTCGGTGGTAGAGCATCTGCTTGGCATGCAGAAGGTCCCAGGTTCAATCCCCAAGAGCTCCTATTAAGAGGAAGAGGCAGAAGGTGATGTGAAGGACCTTGATCTGGGACCCAGGCTCAATGGTAGAGCCTCTGCTTGGCATGCAGAATGTCCCAGGTTAAATCCCCGGCACCTCCAGTTATAAGGACCAGGCAGTAGGTGATGGGAAAGACCTTGACTTGAGACCCTGGCTCAGTGGTAGAACCTCTGCTTGGCATGCAGAAGGTCCCAGGTTCAATCCCCAAGAGCTCCTATTAAGAGGAAGAGGCAGAAGGTGATGTGAAGGACCTTGATCTGGGACCCAGGCTCAATGGTAGAGCCTCTGCTTGGCATGCAGAATGTCCCAGGTTAAATCCCCGGCACCTCCAGTTATAAGGACCAGGCAGTAGGTGATGGGAAAGACCTTGACTTGAGACCCTGGCTCAGTGGTAGAACCTCTGCTTGGCATGCAGAAGGTCCCAGGTTCAATCCCC